TAAGAGTCTTTGTAAGAGAACTTATAGTTAAAATACACTGTGGAAAATGTCCTATAGACAGTGCACACAATCTAATGCCTTGCTGAGATAGCTAGCCTGTGCAGTGCAGCCTCCCCTCCTTTCTCAAAGGACACAATTGTTTTCTAAGTGTACTCTTACCCTATCTAAGCAGACTATAACTTGCAGGTTTTGTATTTCAAGTAGAAAAGATGACCATGCAAGTTCTTCCTCTATTATAAATCAGCATCTCATCTTTTTTGGGAAGGGTTCCCCACAACCCAGTCTGCTCCCCCCACACACACTGCTCTTAGGCCTCCAACTTTGAGTATGGATACTTTTGATGTAGCTTAGGAATTTTCTTTAAACAACATTCCAACTGAAATCCAAGCAAAGGTGGTAGAATATCTGCAGTGGTTACAGACTCAGATCTGATGTCTGTTTTAGAAAGTATTTGACTAAAAGCTCCAAGCACTGGAGTGAAAGCTTATGCATCAGTAATGGAAAAAAACAGACTAAGTTAAAACATTTTTATTTTTTTGCATGGCATTATAAAACTGATTCCTTCATGAAACAGAATTTATTGCAAGTTCATTTGGAGAGGTAGATGGTAAGAGGTTTGACAACAGTAGCAATTTACAGTTAAATTTGGCACACTGAAGCTAAGCTTTTGCATGGACTTTGTATCAAGGCACTCCTTAAGGCACTCTCCACCCCAATACATATCTGCAGCTACAAAAAGGTGTTAAAAGATCTGAAAGATAAAAAAAGAAAAAAGTTAAGTATGTATTCTGACTGATGACCTCCATATCTAACATATAACTCTTTTAGGGAACATTGCAGGTATGAAAGTTGATTTAGCCTCACAGCTGCCTTACAGAATTGGACAAAGAAAAATACATTTGTTTCTGTAGGTACAAATTTGAGTTTTTCAACCTCCTCCAGACTGGAGATGCCCAGACTAACTGGGTTGGATCAGCAGATGTGTTTTCCACAAATGGAAAGGTCTGCCTTCCTCCACCAAACCCAGACAACAGCTTTAGATATTTTCCATCTTAGACTTAAGCACTAAGGGAAAAGCTCTTGGTAGCTGGCTCTGAGCCACTAAAGAAATTACATTTCCTTTAACTATGAAAAGATGCTGATTTCTGTTACCACTGTCCAATCTTTCTGGCTCCTCCTTAAAACGTTTAGATTACAACCACAAAGCTGGCTGTTGTGGGGGAGCTAAGGATAACAGAAACAGTCAAGAAAAGTAACTTAAAAGCTTTTGGGGAGGGAGGGAGGATGCGACAAAGGAGATGATACCAATGTACCTTAATTCCTGAGCACTGTTGTCACAAAGTCTAGCAGAACAGGAATTAGTACCGTATTTTTTGTATACAGTTTATTACGAACCATTTGGGCTTCCATCAGCAATATGTAAATTTTATAAATCTGATATCCCACAGTAACTAAGAAAGTGTAGCAGTATTTAGCCCCTCATCCAGAACTCACTATCTCAGATGTTGTTTAGGAAAATATTATAGTATAAATGTGTCAAGAATGTTGCCATGCGCCAAGCTCATTTCAGAAGGTGAGACGCTTAAATTTATATTATTCAAGATGGAAGTAGCTCGGCCAATTTTGCAGGGTTCTAAAAACATTTTAATGACACCTAATGTCATTCAGATTCATGGGGGGGGACCACCTGTTTACTAGGGGTGCACTGATAGAGATTTTTGGGACTGATAACTATAGCTGATATTTAAGGAGGCAGATACTGATCTGTTTTCTGATACAGCTGCCTCCAGCTGGTAAATCCAGTGTGGTGGAAGGGAAGGGGTGTGTGGAGATCAATGCCCCCCAGGGTGAGCGAAGGGGCAGGTGCTGCCAAGGGGGCAGCTCCCCCTGCTGCTTGCATCCCAGGAGGGCATAGTGGGGCAGGGGTGTATGCTCTCTAGATCTGCACAGGGCTAAGTGGGGCTCTTCTTGGCAGGGGCTGGGCTCTAAGTGGGCACCGGCAGCAGTGGGAGAATACTGTATCCACCCCAAACTTCACTGCCCCACTCCTAGCACCGCTGCTGCCAGCCACTGCCCCACCTCCACCCACACACTGGGAAGAGCCAGGGCTGCGGCTGGAAGCAGAGCAGCAGTGAAATCTGGGGTGGATGCAGCATCCTCCCAGTGCCACCAGTGCCCAATGTGAACCCAGCAGATCCAGGGGGCACCCCCCCCGGTGTCCTCTGGGGGTGCAAGCAGCAGCAGGAGCCACCTTCCCCACCAAAGCGCTATGGCATGGATTTTCTTACGTGGGTTTTTTGACCCTGTGATCTCCCATGGTCAAAAAAAAGGCCGCCTACTGCAGAGTAGCAGCATGGCAAATGCCTGCGTGTATAGCACCACAGAAAAGTGTGTAGCACTACATACTGCACATTTGCGCTCGCCTGGATGTGGCCTACATGTTCTACAACTGGCTTGCTGAGAAAAAATAGTAATCCTTAAATTTGTATGTATACTTTGTTTTTAAACTAAAGCACTGGATTTTTCAAGCAATTGGGAAATCAGTCTAATTTCATAATTAGCAGCAATATTAGGCAATCCAAAGCAAATGTGAAGACTTCACTACTCAATTCAAATTCATATCCATCTCAGGCAATAGAGTGAGCAAAGTAGTCAGCACTGACTATAACGGAATCATCTGTGATCTTGGTATGGCTACTATCGGACAAGGGTTAGGACCACCCTTGGCACCCCTTCCTGAGAGAAAACAGAAAACTAAACTGGCATGAATATTAAGCTATTTTAAGAAGTTCAAACAGAGGCAATGTGTCAAGGCAGAATACAATGTTGCACTGTCACAATTCATGCTGTAGCTGCTCTGCACCTATTTGACACAGAGGCACAGAGTTTTGTCCAAATGCCTTACAGTAGCAGTACATCCTTTTTGGGAAGGAAATATAGTGCACTTGAATGTCTCAGTAAATTTTTCCCACCAAGATCTGATCTCTTTTAAGACACAGGAATAGCTAGTTTTAAGTATTCAGTGTCAGTAAGAAACAAGACATCATTGTTTGTAGTTTTAGAAACTTACCACTGAAAGATACAATGGTATTTCACCATGTTACAAAAAGGAGCAGACTTTCTGGGGTCGGAATGGATTTGTACTTGAAGATACTCCTGTCAACAGGGGATCGTGCTGTGCGTTCTGCAAACAGAACTGCTTCAAGTCGGCTGCAGCTTGAGAAACCTAGTCGGGGTGAAGCGTGCGTTAGCATTTACGGTGCGTTACTCTAACCATAACTTACTGCAGGCAGTGGGAGGCGCGGTGCAGTCCCCCTGTAGTACAGCTGCTGTACACGCGACATTTGCATTGCAGCTGTTGTGCAGTCAGAAAACACCTCTCTGGTATTTGTAGGTGCAGAGGTTGAGCTGGCCCTCGGGCAACAGCTCAACCCAACTGCTCTGAAGCAGCCCAGCCCTTTTTACACTGGTTTTTACTGGCAATGCAGTCAAATGAGCTGAGCGCTGGGGCCAGACGTTAACTGGGACAGCTCCCAGTACCAAGGGGGGGGGAAGCCTGCTCCTCCCTCCGTCTGGATTTGGTGTGGGCCCAGGTGGCCTCCCAAACGTTTCCTCCGCGCGGCCCCGTGCCCCCACCCGCTGATGTCCCCACGGTTTGGGACCCGCTGCTCCGGGGGCCCGGCTGGGTTTCCCAGGCGGGCAGGCCGCGCGGGCACGGGCGGGGTCTGTTTCCGCGCTGTCCGCCCGGGCCCAAGCAGGGATCCTGTCTGGCCTGGCCCCAGGGCCGGGGCAA